CCTAAGCCTTGGTATTTAAACAGTAATTTATTTTACTGTCAGGAAGTATATCAAGTCTTATCATTAAGATTTATGATTGTTTTTTTAAATTCACGAATTTGATTCTTTTAATGGAATACTTGACAATTGACTTTCTTTCAGGATAGAAAAATGAATCCACAATATATACATCAACAACAACAACAGGCACAACAACAACCTGGCTATTATTCTGGTCCACCAACTTCATCACCATACGGGGAATTAAATTCAAATGTTTCTTCAAACCCTTTAAATGGACCTCCAATGAACTCTCCATATACATCTCAAAAACCAATGCAAGGAACTTCTGCTAATTTAAATCAGGCTTCAGCTCCATATTACATGAGCCACATATTGCCACATGGTAATGAGAATTAATTATAAACTTCCACATGCATAAAACATTTCCAGGTTAATTTAAATACAATCTTCCTTGTTACAGGAAATACTCAGTTTGAATCATCAACAAATAATCCCCATATGATGCCATCGCCAATCAGTCAAAACAATATAGTTAATCAAATGTCTAACATGTCTATGAGTGATCAGCACAGACCACCATCCACGGTAATTGACCTTTAATTAAATATTAGTAATAATATCAATATTAATGAACATCAGTATTATTTAATGTATTGCAGAATTTTCCTCCACCACCTTTACCTGAAAAGAGCAGTCCAACAATAACTGCTTCTTCAAATGTTAATGGGTTCAACAATGTTCTGGATGCATCATCGCCTGGAGGTGGTCAGTATACAGACTTGGTTATTAAATATAGTATACAGACTTGATGAATAATGTTAAAATTACATCTGTTTAATTAAAACAGGGCCTATTGGACAAACTGATCCTGGTGGAAAATCTGTGCCACCACCTATTTCTGGACAAGACTTACAACAAAAGGCAACTTCAAAAAATCTTTCCACACTTCAATCCGGTCTTCCATTTTCTGGACATTCTACGGGATCTAACCTGGGGCAATATTATTGTGGCCAGAATGTGTCATCTGAACAAGGATTTAATACAGGGTTATCCAATCAGAGTGGTCAAGGAAATGTCACTGATGCACCTCATGGGCAACCAAATTTTCCAAGACCACCAACAACAGGGCAAAAATCTACAGTTTCCGCATTACCAGGCCAACAAAATTTGCCCAATCTACCATTGCAGGGACAGCCAAATTTGTCCAATTCGCCTTTACCTGGACAGCAGACTCTTTCTAACCCATTAATGCCGGGTCAGCCACACTTATCTGGACCTCCGTTACCAAATCAACAGAGTCAGAATAATACAGTTGCACAGGGTGTACACGAACCACAAAATTTACCTGGACCACCTCCATTATCCAAGCAAAGTTTATCAGGACAGTCAAATTTGCCTGGTCCCCAGATTCCAGGACCTCCTTTACCAGGGCAACAATATCCCCCGATGTTAGGTCAGCAGTCTAACCTACACAGTCAGTCGAATCTACCTGGTCCTCCTTTGATGGGTCAGCAGAATATGCCCCCACTTCCAATGTCAGGACAACCAAACATTGGTCCACCTCCATTACCAGGCCAACAAAGTTTCAACAGATCGTCGTTAATGGGACAACAAACTTTATCTGGACCTCAAGGTCAACCTCCATTGCCTGGCCAACCTGTGGGACAGATAACAAATGCTACCTCAACTTTACCACAATCAGGTCATAGGCAATATTCATCTGGTGCTCCCGTGCAGGGACAAACCATGGGAAATCCTTTAGCACCTGGTTCAATGGCAGGTTATCAACCTTCCAACTACCCAGGCTATAATACCGTATGTTTGTAGTAGTTGTGATATCAAGATCCATCCATTATGCTTTCTTACATTGAATAATTTTCTTTGTCACAGGAGATGTATAATTCTTTAAGAGGATATCAAAATACACCAGCTCAAGGGGTGGGATATCAACCGGGTATTCAACCTCAACAAACCAGACGTTTGGATCCCGATCAGATGCCAAGCCTAGTAAGAAATTGAAATGGAATATTGTCGCAATCTTGTATGTTAATACTTCAAACTAATTCAAACAAATCCATTTATCTATAAAGATTCAATTAATAGAAGATGATCAACGCATGAGAGGTGGTGTGTTCGTAACAAATCAAAAGGGACAAGTTCCTCCATTAGTGACTACCAAGTTCGTGACGCAAGATCAGGGAAACGCATCTCCTAGATATATTAGGTCCACCATGTACACTGTTCCTACCACTGCAGATATCATAAAACAAGTAAACTTGATTGAATGCGTACTATCATTAATATAATTTCGTCTACTAAACGAAGTTCATTTGCAGACGAGTGTTCCATTTGGTCTAATAATAAGCCCGATGGCTCGTATAGCGGAGGGAGAATATGAACCACCTATTGTAGATATGGGAGAAATTGGTCCAGTTCGTTGCGTACGGTGTAAAGCGTACATGAGTCCATTTATGCAGTTCATCGACGCGGGCAGAAGATTCCAGTGCATGTTCTGTAAAGCGACCACGGAAGGTAGCTGTTTAATTCTTTCTCTAATTCTTTTGTCAACTGTCATAACCTCTGTTCCTTTTCTATTTTAGTCCCGGCAGAATATTTTCAACATTTGGATCATACTGGTCAACGCATGGATCGTTACGACAGACCGGAATTAACGTTAGGAACGTACGAGTTCATTGCTACAAAAGATTATTGTAGAGTAAGTATATTGTCATTCAACGGTTGATGCAATGATTTCGTGTAATCTTGTTAAGAAATCTCTTCTTCTGCTTCGTAGAACAATAATTTCCCAAAACCACCAGCCATTGTATTCGTGATTGATGTATCATATAACACAGTTAAGTCTGGCTTAGTCAATTTACTCTGTATGAAAATGAAATCGATTCTGCGGCATTTACCTACAGACATTGGCCAATCGAAATCAAACATGAAAGTAGGATTTATAACGTACAATAATACCGTACACTTTTACAACGTGAACTCTTGCCTTGCTCAACCGCAAATGATGGTTGTCGGGGACATACAAGACGTGTTTATGCCGCTTCTCGACGGTTTCCTGTGCGACGTCGAGGAAAGCGAAGCGGTGATCGACGGTTTAATGGCGCAGATACCGGCCATGTTCGCGGACACACGTGAAACAGAGACAATTCTTGCGCCTGCAATACAAGCTGGACTGGAAGCATTAAAGGTACTTTCACAGTAAAAAGAAATATCGCAGATCACTTCTAAATAAAAGATATGTTCTGTAGTAGTTAATTTTACATATATTTAAGGCCTCGGATTGCGTTGGTAAATTAATGGTTTTTCACTCGTCCCTACCAATCGCTGAAGCTCCTGGCAAATTGAAAAATCGTGATGACCGTAAGGTGCTTGGAACAGAGAAAGAAAAATCAGTGTTAGGTGAATGTTTTTCTCATATTTATGATTCATATTATTATCAGTATTAAATAGATTGATGTAAAGAGTAAATCTCGTGTTTACATAACACATTTTTGTGTTACATAATTGAAGGACTTCGCATCTTGTTATTGAATTTAGTGATTAAGTTATACATAGTTCTGAATATGACCGCTCTTAATCGTAGAGGGCATGATACTATGAAATCAGTATGTTTATTCAACTGTACACTTTTCACAATTGTGCTAAGCCTACCCTACAATCTGCATGTATTGTAATATTCTAAATATCAATATTTTCTTTTTTTCAGCTCCTCAGAATAATGTTTACAATAATCTAGGGCAAGAATGTGAAGGTTCCGGATGTTCCGTAGATTTGTTTGTTTTTAATAATTCATACGTGGACATCGCAACGATAAGTCAAGTTGCCAGATTAACTGGCGGTGAAGTTTACAAGTACACTTATTTCCAGGTAATGTATCTTTACGTTAATTACTTAATAATTCAAAATTATTTTTTATTCAACAATATAAATCACTGATGATTCGTATCCTTTTCAGGCTGATATAGATGGAGATCGTTTGATCACAGATGTTATTAATAATATTAGTAGACCAATCGCGTTTGACGCCATCATGCGCGTACGCACGTCTACTGGTGTCCGAGCAACCGATTTCTTTGGACATTTCTTCATGTCGAATACCACAGATATGGAATTAGCTAGTATAGATTGCAATAAGGTACATGCACGTCTAGTGTCGTATGCCTTAACCCTTTGCACTCGACAATATTTTTCATTAAAGATATTTATTACTTTCTGACTAAATATTAACGATATTTTTCGCAACTGACATAATTGATTATCTTCTATGAATTAAGAGACAGAACTATTTTACTTTGATGTTTTATGTGTTGGTACATTACACAAGGTTTGATATTGAATTGAAAATTTTATCAGTTTGCTGCGTCGAATCAGGTGGCGACTGTAAGGCGCCCCTCGAGTGCAAAGGGTTAATACTCCTAATGCATTGCGTTACAAATTTCTTTCATTCAATGTTCTAGGCCATTGCTGTAGAAATAAAGCACGATGACAAATTGACGGACGACGAAGGTGTATATATTCAAACGGCTTTGTTGTATACTTCTTGCAGCGGTGTCAGAAGATTGCGTATCATTAATCTCAGTTTAAAGACTTCGTCGAAAGTAGCTGAATTGTACCGAGTCTGCGACCTGGACGCCATTATAAATTTCTTCTCCAAGCAAAGTATGACCAATCATTGCTATTCTCTACTGAACTATTAACCCCTTACCTAATGATTCATTTTGGATCAAACGATCAACTGTTTTACAGAAAATTGAAGTATCACAACTTCAATGAAATTTATTTAGGAAAATGAAATCATTTCACTTACAATACAGCGTATTTGTAAAATGATTTGCGAAATGAGACTTGTTTCAATTCAAAGGGTTAATATTATTCTAACCTATTTGGATTGTAATTGATATTTTTTTGTCCAGGCGTTTTCAAGCTAATCGATTCGACTCCGAAGACTATAAAAGACAATTTAATCTCAAGATGCGCGAACATACTTGCCGCATATAGAAAACACTGTGCTTCCCCGTCAAGTGCTGGACAATTGATATTACCGGAGTGCATGAAATTGCTCCCACTTTATATAAATTCATTGTTGAAAAGTGACGCATTGTCTGGAGGTATTTCCTATTCAATTTATTTAGTATCATTTCATTTTGTTAATTGGTGCAAGAAATATCACGTCACAAATCATTGATACTTTCAGGTGCTGATATGACTATCGACGATAGATCTTTCGTTATGCAAACCGTTGCTACAATGCCTATTTCGATATCGGTTGTGTACATTTATCCAAGATTACTTCCTTTGCACGATGTTGATCCTCAAGACACAGAGTTACCCCAGTTGCTTCGTTGTTCTATCGACAAGTTTACCGATGATGGCGCATTTTTACTTGGTAAGTGAATTATTTACCTCTCTCCTGTACATTTAATGTTAACACGTTGAATGCCTGACGACTTCATAGGGAAAAATACTCAAAATGGAAAAAATATATTGAATCATCATCACCGATGACCATGGCGTTCAACGGTTAACTATTGTGAAAGTTATTAGTGAATGATATAAACTCTATAGTATCTTGTACCTGTTTTCTTCTTTCCCTCAGAAAACAGTATCCACATGTTCCTATGGCTAGGCCTAGGACTTTCCACGCAATGGGTACAGGCAGTGTTCGGAGTCCCATCGGTAGTTCAAGTTGACACGGATCGTACTGCACTGCCAATACTAGACACACCGTTGAACAAACGAATAACAGATATTATTGATCGCGTGCGCATGGAGAGGCATCGTTGCATGAGAGTACGTAATTAGAAACGTTAGAAAATTGTGTGTTTTAAACGTTGAAACATATATGTAATCCGATCGTATCATTTTAGTTAACTATAGTGAGACAACGAGAGAAACTTGAAATGGTGATGCGTCATTTCTTGATCGAGGATAGAGGGAACGACGGAAGTCCCAGTTACGTGGATTTCCTTTGCCATATGCACAAAGAAATAAGAACACTTCTTAACCAATAATAAAAGGAATCTTAAAAGCAATCAGTTTATATTGCGTTTGGACAAACCTAGTTCGCAACATGTCCATGGCTGGTCGTTACGTCAACGATGAGATTAGATTATTAAAAACAGAGTTTATTGAGAACTCGATGGGAAGCATGGAACGTGAATGACACACACGGAGGGGCGGTACGCACTTTGGAAGGAAAGCTGAAGAATGTGAAATAAAAACTAACGTACATTTATAGCGTGTAATACCTATCAGGAGGGTGATGAACTTTAAAAAATAACCAATCATTCCGCGGTTAATGAATCGGCGCATGTAAAGGGAAACATTCAGTTGCACTCACACATACATCACTCATACACGGTGATTTATACACAAGTAATTGTAAACGTAAAAATTGTATTATTACTTTTTATTTTAAACTAGCTCATTAATGTTATTATATTAAATTAAATAATAAAAAGGAAAACTGTATTAAATCACTATAAATTTATATATCAAACGAAAAGGAAAAAAAAAGAAGACGTATCTTGTGTTGATTAAATAGTATTTCCGTTAATCGACGCACCGCGTTAATCTTTCGTTTTAACGTTAACAAGATTACTTTGAATTATACTTGTTTAAATTCCACTAACAACTGTATACTGCTTTTACGATTGAAGGGTTAATATGTTTCTTACATTCATAATGCACTCGATTTATTTGCGATTTTTCAACTTGTTTTTCATTATTTGTGTAAATAACGAAATAAAGTATGTTGTCAGCAATGAAAAACAAAGGTTGTGTTCAGTCATTGTTTGTTAGTCGATTTCTAGATGGTGTTTCAGTTTAAGAAAAAGGAAAAGAAAAATTCGTGAATGGTTAAATTATAATTGCAATGTTACCATACAAACGGGCTATGGGATAGACAGTGCGAGCTTATGGGATTTTTGATCCACATGTTCTGAATTACCAACTGTGATCTAAGTTAACCAAATGGTAAATATGGTAAATTACAAACGTCACGAACTTAAGTTATGTATGTATGTACCTACAGACTGTGCATACGGGATACTATTTTTTTTATTTTTATTTCTAATTCCTATCACTTTTAGCGCTGCCATGCAAAACCAGCCTAGGTCGATATGACAGGGCATGACAGGAAAATGGAAAGGGGGTCCTAGTACCCCTGAGAGCATGTAACAGAATTCTACTATGAATGTTATGGCTAGATAATATATTAGGAACGTATTTTAAAGATTAAGAGTTTCTTCGTTTATCTATTTTTATGTACAAAACTGAAATCCTAATTATTCAATAGTATATAAGTACCTCTTAATCAGACTTGAATGTTCTTTCTAATAATTCTAATACAATGTACGATTTCTAGACACTTTATGTATCGTTATCCGTTATTTACAATCTAATTTGAATTAACAACTGTTTTACGCGTCATTACAAAATATTTGTAAAAAATTTTATGATAAGGTAAGTGTGAAATCTTTAAATATAATAGTAATTTGTATGATAAATGTATGTAACCGTGTATAGGTTATTGTTTACATACATTGCAATGTTAGTAATTCAAATAATTAATGTCATTAGCTAATTGCATGCAATATGTATATATAATTTAATGTTTTTGTCATAAATGTGTATTTTTCACAGAAAATGCAGTTTATAAAGCAAGGTGTACGGTTGATATCGAGTCAGACGTTTAATGCAAGTATTTCAAATTGTTTATCTGGCACATTAAAACCGTTATATACTATTCCCACTCACAATATACATGTATCTGCTTGTGTACAAAAAATCAAGTTTCTTGATCACAATAAGACCATTTTTCCTCCACAAAAACTGGGTGAAGAGAGAAGACCCGGAGTAAGTTCTTTCACTCTAAATGTTATTAAATTTATTTATATATATATATATATCCATATATGGAAGCTTCATAATGAATAGAATTTCTACATGTTTTATAGTATGTGTGCCATGTAAAAGAAAACATAAAATACAGTCCAGTAAAAATGTGGTATATTGCATGTTTTGTAAGAGGTATGACTGTAGATGAAGCTGTGAAACAATTGAGCTTTTTACACAAAAAAGGTGCAGCTATTGTAAAAGATGTTATACTGGAAGCACAAAAACAAGCTGTAGAAAAACACAACATTGAATATAAGAGTAATTTAT